ACATATGATGTAATGAGCTCCTTCTGCTATGTATAAATACCCCCCCCAGGTACTGTGCCAAAGATATCCAGCTAAACATTGTTTCTTACTTTTCTATAAATCCGTCAACATTTCATGTCCGATGTCTTGACTGAGTTTTTATTTAAATCGGAACTTAATTTTTAACTTAATTCTAGGAGTGCTGATTAAATGACTTCCAGTGGTCCTTAATATATTTGAACATAGCAATTATAGATGACTAGATGAAGAGTGATTGTGTGCCGTCATTCTTAATAATAGTTATGGATCTGAAATGTTTGACTGGATCCGATGTACATAAATAAAATAAATAAAAAAGAGACAATCAGACCCAACTTCACTCGACTATAAGGATCAGAGCCAATGCAGAATGTCGTTGTTCCGTGCAGACCCGATACAATAACATTCATATCAATAATTTTATCAGAGTGCTGCAGATTTATCAGTATATGTGTCCTGCTGCAGGGACTTAATGAACTGAAGGAGAAGTTCATACAATATAAAACAGCTGCTGACAACAGATACTGTAAGAATCTACATTTATAGATAAATGAATAGGAGTGTGTTCTTAACAACTGTCCTCCACTAAACACATTCAATGTTTATATATTTTTAATACCGATTGAAACACATCTACTGGTTGAAGAGCGAATTAGACTTGAAGCACATCCCTCGATTGCTGCACATTCGCTCTTGTTTCCCTTGTTGATAAAATCACCAGACTGACAGCTGAGTGATGCTTCTCCAGAAACAGACGGGATTCTGGGACGTCTATTATCAGCGCGAAGTCTAAATGCAATCTGTTTCCATTCAATGTCATGTTCAAGCACTTGCCTCAAAACAAGGACATGATGTCACGTTTCTGATGCAGGTTATAAATGAATAAGGACCCTGTTGTTGGTGAGGTTGTAGTACACTGAAAATACAATAATGCGGCACAAATGTCCGGCCTACTGTAGGGGCCCACATGCATGCAGAAGTCCATGTTATCCCGAGTGCATAGTATGTCTTCTCATCTTCAAATCATCAATGTGCTGCTCAATGTGATGTTGTGCAGACTACAGATGACGGAGGCTGCCCTCGCCCTCTCCGAGCAGAAAAACCACAACATGGGAGAGCTGCTGACACGAGTGAAGGCTGAGAAAGAAGAACAGAGAGAACGACAGAGCAGGGAGAGGAAGAAAGAGCAAGAGGTACGCACAGATGGGAGGAGAGACAACACTCTGTTTCACCTCAAATGAGATTTGTACGGGAAACAAGATTTAAACACATTTTCCATCTGCGGTTCTGCCGATAGCTAGCTCCTGAGAGCTTTCACTTGTGCTACTGCATTTAGTAAGGAACATATAGTAACTGATATAGAGACATATTGAGACAAGCCCGTTGATCTTTTGATGATGGGTATCTCAAAATGGCCAATCATTACATCAGCCCTTACATCATAACTCCAGCTGTTATTTACCAGATATATTTCTCCTTAATAGTTGTCTCAATTTATTCAAATGTTGTCACAGCAAAGGGAAACATCTGTCATGTGATGTAGCATGTGATGTGTCTGATCTGTTTAGGAAAAATATAAAGATGTACGAGTGAGATTCTAGGACAGCAAGATATTTGTGTTGGTTCCTTTTGATATTTATGAAAAATATTTCTTTGATTTGAACCTAAAGTCAAAAATATGCTAAATTAAAGATGGCAATTTACCAACAACCCAGAATCCAGAGGAAAACAATCTTCCTCTTCTTCTTTACAACAAGCCAAGCTTCTATCATGGTTTTGATTTATTATCGAGCCAGATGCCAAGACATCTGTAATCTGTACCCTCTCAATATTGAAAACCAGTCAGAGTGGAGATAATGTATAGATCTGGAGATTAGCATGGATTCTGTTTAAGATGTAAGATTGATAAGTGTAAGTTGCAGTGCATTCAAGAACACTTGAATGTAGGTGTAGTAGTTTTAAATCCACACATGGAGAAGATTAGTCTCTCACAGGACAGGATCCCTGCTGCACACCTTTGGTAATTGATAGGAATTCAGATGTAGACATGTCTGCCTTCACAACTAGCTAGTTAGCCAGCTGCTGTATGTAGGTAACATGTGCAGCCCTGGTAAGCTAAATAAATAAGAGGAGAGGTTGTGCCTGTGTACAACATTTTTTCCCATCAGCAGCTAGATGTCTGAAAGAAGACGGGGACATATGAAGAATGCTCTTGATCAGTTCTTGTGCACATACATTTGTGTATCTGGAGTGCCTACCAACCCACACACTGACATAAGACAACCTTATCTAGATCTGAAAACATGTGACTCAACAAGCCATTCAGATTTGGCTTCCCTTCCTATGTCACATGCAGGCTCATTAGAATAACGAATCTGCACCGCTGGCACGACACATTGCACTCTGGGTAGTGGTTGCCATGTTTTAGGAGGACCCTCATTGTTTAAATGCATTCATTCATTTTTACCCATGAGCACACGGTGACAACAAACACAAATCAACGGACAAAATAGAAACTGTAATGAAACATTATCGAACAAGTGTAGTGAAGCAGCTCTGATGTAAACGATGCTGTTTGAAGGGATTATGTCGACGGAGTAGGTTGGTTAGCCAGCATGCTAACAGCATTGATAACTAATGTTACGCCAACCGCCGCTGTCACGACATGTCTTGTAGATTGTGACGTCACGATTGTCACCACCGCAGCTTTCAATCGGTGACCTAAAAAACCACAATGCCTTGTGTTTCTCACTGCCGCTCACATCATGATCCTGTTCTCTATACCTGAGAGTATCTCCACCCACGGCTTGAGAACTTCATTTGGGCGCCCTATTTGTCCTGCAAGCCAATCAGAGAAGGTTGGGCTTTTTCAGGAGGGGGCTTAAAGAGACAGGCACTAAAATGGAGTGTTTCAGAAGTGTTCTTTAAACATTTAAGCATGTAGAGATGTTCTAGTAGAAATCCAAAATATAAGCATGAACCTGAAAAATAGCATTATATGTCCCCTTTAAGAGGAAACGGGCAGGTGATTGGATGAAAGGTGAGAGGGCAGTGACAACACCATTGTCATGAAAGTTGTATCAGGATAAATCCCTTTATGAAATAAAAGCAAGTTAAAATGCTGAAAATACATGGAAGGATGGAATAACATTTCAATACTTTTTTCACAAATTGATTCTTTAATATCTTTAATTCACTTAATTTGTTAGTTATTCTATTCCCATATGGACTTGACATACAGGATGTAACTCATGTTTGTCCATCCTGTAGGACGGTGCACTCAGAGAAGGTAAACTCCTCAGAGAGATCCAGAACCTGACAGAAACCAACGCCCAACTCACGAATAAAGTAAGTCTGTTAAGAACACCGTGAATTTATGTCGGAGGACTTTCCCTAAAACTATTATACCAATGTTGAGGAACACACACACACACAGAGACCAACATTTCAGTATGAGTACTGTTAGATGTGAGCCTAACTGTTGTGTGTGTCTTAGGTGGAGGAGATGGAGCGCAGATGTAAGTCTCAGCAGCAGCAGATCGTTGAGCTGAAGCAGGAGCTGACCAACAGCACGGCAGAGCTCAAGCTGCAGCTAGCCCAGGCAGAAGGTAACACACGCACAAAGAGAACGTCTTTTTCTACATAAAACCCAGCTGATGTCCTGTATGTCACCCTCTAACAGACCGTCTGGAGATAGAGAAGCGAAGGTCCAAGCAATCTCTGCAAGACATGGACAGTCTCCGCCAGAAAGAGGTGCTTTTATACATATACTATATACAGTATATTAATATGTATTGTTTATTTTTGTATCTCTAATAAATGTAGACTACAGAGAAGAAGATAAAATGGTAAAAGCTCAGATTTTCTTTACAGGTGGAGCATGTGAATCGACTTCTAGAAGAGAGCGAGAGAGCTCTGCAGGAACGCATCTTCAAACTGGAGGGACAGCGCATACAACTGGAAGAGGTCAGAGTTCAGAGCATCCGTGTTTAAAAGACAAAAACACAAAAGAACTGCTAATAAGACATAACAGATTGCAGTTATTTATGAGCCAAAGCCAGATTTATTTTTTACATTAATCATGGTGTTGCAGCGGAGGCGATTCAAGCGCTGCCAAACATCCGGAACTAACTTTAACAGACACAGAAACAGAGGCGGGGGGATGAAGTTTTCAGACTATGTAAAGTCACGGTTCTCACTTCAGCCAGTCAGCCTTCTGTGATGCTGTCCCCGATGTAGAGTAGCATTATGCCAAACTGCATCAGGAACTGTGACACCTTTGTGCTGAGATTCTTAGACTATACATATGAACGCACATAGCTGCTGTCGCACATGTTTGTTTTCTTACATATGTGACTGCATGTCGGGACTGCAGGGGCTACACAGACACCACGTGGAGATGGCAGGATTGTTTTTGTTGCCGTTGGAGACCGTTGATAGATGCCAATCTGCTGCTTTTCAGTAAAACACATCTGACAAAAACAGACTTGCTCACCACGAACACCACTCTATCACAGTGAATGAAAGAATACTGCAGGTGTTTATTATTTTTATTACACTATCCACTATCGGAGGCACCCATGCGGAGATAACAGAACGATCTGACGCCTCAATGAATTCAACCTTTGCATAATTCTCTATAAGCAGATGAGGTTCAATGGCAAGGACTGAAGGGAGGCTGTTTATTGAAGGGAGATGTTATTACTTTCCTTAACTGTACCTTTTTAGGAAGTTCAGTTATTCAAATCCACAAGGTGGCTTCTCTTTCCAAGCTGGGAATTTCCCACTGCTGTGCTGTGATCCAACACGTTAGCCCTGTACTATCATTTCTGCTGAATCAGGGACACTTTCAGCGCAGTGTGAGAAGCTCTGCTGAAAGCTCCAGTCGACCTGTGCTCTTCACGTGATGCCATCTCTTTACTGTCCGTCTGTTAGGAGCTGAGTAAAGCTAAAGCAGCGTGTGTGACGGAGAGGGCCCAGGCAGAGGAGGACCTGGGAAAGGTGCGAGCTCAAGTGCGTCTGGAGGAGGTGGGTTTCAAAAATCAGCACCCTTGATCATTAAGATGCAGCTATGAAGGCTTTTGTCCAAAGCGACACACAAATGGGGCACAAGCTAAGCCTCAATAGTGCCACAAGTCAAATCCAGTAGCTTATTGCTGAGAAAACCTTGAACTATTGCTGTATGATTCATTCTTTTTGATATCTTTTACACTTTAACTTTTATGATTTTCAGTCTTTTTCTGACTTTATAATAGGTGTGTATTGCGCAGTTCAAAGTGCGTGATGTCATTGCCAGAGTGAAGAGCAGCTTCAGAATCTTGTGAAAACAATATTTCTATTTTGCCACCTTTTCCACAATTTTCACTCTTTTTGGTGAAAGTGTAGCTAATCTTTTCCTTGTCGTATACATGTGACGGTGGAATCCAACAGATTTACACATTTGGCCACAGCAGCCTCAAAGTGAGAAGAAGTCCAACTATCTGCTCCATAGAGACTAATTCTGACTCCAAGAGCATCTTGGACAGACAACCGTACAACATTTCTAGACCGCCACTGAAGCCACATCTTTTACACTACAGACACAATTCTCACATTATCTGTTCTTCAAGTCATCCTTCCTCTCTAGTTCTAATATCGAAGCAATGGGGGTTTTGTATAACAGGTTTTTCTAGCTTTAACTGCGTGTAAAGCCTGCAGGCACACAGGTGTTTGCAGTGGCGGGCCGTGCATTTTATACCTGGGCCTTCAGTGCTGTCCTACTGCAGTTGAACCTCCTCATGACACCACAGCTACGGTTATTATTTGTTTTGTGTAAAAGTGAAGCTGAACACCTACGAATACACTAACTGCAGAGTGCAGATACATGAATACGAGCTGCGTAATGAACGGACAATGCATTAAATCACACGTATTCATCCACACACTGAAGAGCACGGGCCATTCAAATATTATTCACATCAGAGGGAACAATATGAAATAGACAAATGAACACAGTAGTAACGCTACGATCACTCCCTCCAGGAAATACACGAAACCTTAATTCTTGTTAGTGACGGATTTATTCGTCTGTCAACACCGAGAGGGGAAATGAGTCCACTTGAAAACACATGAATCTTCAAAAGATGATCGCTTTGACTCAAACTTAACTTTAACACTTTAACTTTAACACTTCCTATCACATATTAAACCAAACTAAAATCCATATTCATAAAAACAAGTTGTACAAATAATGCCATGACTACATTGGAAACAATGGAGGCAAATGCCATCTGTGATCACCTTTATGACTAGAACTGCTTAGAATTTTAAATGTTTCAGTACAAGTAAGACAATCCCTGTTTTGACCCATACTTTGAGCAATATAAACAAGTTTCTTTTTCAAAATCCCTTTTTTATTTGACAATAGATAAATGTTAAATAGATTTGATTCTTTTTATTATACGTTACATTCACATGAATTTTGTCAAAATCAAACCTTTGGATGGCACCAAAACAGTATTGAGGTTTGAGACCCAGTCCTTGTTATGACTGGATACAAGTCCTACAAAGACATCCTGCTTATTATGAAAGACCGTTATATGTAATTAGGACTTATGAAAGTGAATTTGTGGGTATTTCAGACATTGCCTTACAAGACGCTTTTCTCCCTCTCCCCCACATTTGATGTTTTTACTGACTCTGAGACTCCATGGAAAGCTATGTTGATACCGAGTGGATTATCGAGGTGACATACAGTCAGCTAATTTCAGTTTCTCCATCATACTTACTTCTGCCTCGTATTTCCTCTGAGCAGCAGGAGCATGTGTCGTCCTTGGAGGAGAAGCTTCGCTCCGTGCGTTCCCTCCAACAGGAGGTCCAGCTCCACTGCTCCCAGCAGAAACAGACCATCTCTGAGCTGCAGGCCAAGAACAGCCAGCAGGGCATGGAGATAAACGGACTGCGGCGCAGGACAGAGGAGCTCCAGCAGGTCAGGACCCATCAGCCGCCCGTTACACCTGCAGCCTTTTAGGTTCACTATGTGTAGGCCTCATTATGTTCCATATGTGACTCCTGTGTTCACACCAAAGACTCATATACTGTATATATACAGTCAGATACAGCCATAAGTATTTGGACTATGACACAATTTTTCAAATTTTGCTTATTTACACAACTCCAATGGATTTGAAACTAATCAGTCAACATGTGGTTGAAGTGTAGACTTTCAGCTTTAATTCAATGGATATAACAAAAAAATCACAATGACCGTTTAGGAATTATGACCATTTTTTGAGTTCTGAGGTGTTTATGGCTAAACTATCTGCTCAGATTCAGCCTAATGCTACAAAACTGATTGGACGGCGCCTCACAGTGCAGATGGATTATGATCTAAAACATACTGTGAACACAACCCAAGAGCTTCTCAAGGCAAAGGAATGGAATATTCTTCAATGGCCAAGTCAGTCACCTGATCTCAACCCAAGTGAGCAGCTTTTTACTCACTTAAGATAAAACTGAAGCAGAAAGACCCACAAACAGCAGCAGCTGAAGGAGGCTGCAGTAAAAGGCATGGCAAAGCATCTCAAAGGAGGAAACTCAGTGTTTGGTGATGTCTATGGGTGATAGAATTCAGGCAGTCATTGACTGCAAATGATTTTCCTCCAAGTATTAAAAATAAGGATTATATTCACAATTATGTTAGTTTGTCCAATTACTTTTGAGCCTCTGAAAATGTGGGTGGCTGTGTAAAAATGGCTGTAATTCCTAAACGGTTATTGTGATTTTTTTGTTTTTGTTTTATCCATTGAATTAAAGCTGAAAGTCTTCACTTCAACCACATGTTGACTGATTAATTTAAAATGCACTGGAGTTGTGTAAAGAGGCAAAATTAGAAAAATTGTGTCACAGTCCAAATACTTATGACCCTGACTGTATATATACAAAATATACTGTATATATACTGTATATATATATATGTATATATACTGTATATATATATATATATATGTATATATACTGTGTATATATATATATATACACTGTATATATACTGTGTATATGTATCCAAGTCAATAGGTTTTATGGGTTCTCATCATTGTAAACAGTCAGTTAGAGGGAGAGAGAGTTAGAGTTCAGTAGAAAGAAAATGAGTTCCTACATGAAACTGTCCACAATGAGTACGTATGAGTAACCAGGTCATGATTTCTGGAAAGAGACACTGCTGTTGAGTTTTTTAAATGTATATATTTTTTTTGCCGCACAAGCCGAACGCCATTTAGTTCCATAATATTGGAGAGAAGGCAGACATCTCTACGGACAATATCTCCAAAACTAGGCAACTCAAACCAAAACGATCAAGATAGATGATTATAAGTAAGAGGGAATTAATGTAGTTTTGATTTTTGTGTGAACTGTCCCTTTAAGCTGAGACATTTGATGTTTGATGTTTTTTTGTAGTTGACTTCCCTCCTTCCGGTCTGATGTCCAGAGGCTTGTATTTTTATGAAAGAAGCAGATATTCTCTAACACAGCTGTTCATCTTTTGTAATGATGATTCATCCGAGAGAGTTTCATGTCCATCTGAAGAGAGGGAACTGTCAGTCACCTAAAGTTGTCTATGAGAAAATGAATGGGACTTTTATTTGCAGACAGAAGTGAATGAAAATGATTGTGATGTTGCTGCAGGAGCTGTCGGGTAAGGACCAGGAGAAGGTGGCTGAAGTGAGCCGGGTGAAGGTGGAGCTGCAGGAGCAGATTGGACATTTACAGGCTGAGAGAACAGCTCAGGGAGGACTCAAAGAGAAGATCAGTGCTCTGGAGAGAGAGATTAAAGGTGTTTCTTTCTCTTTTTATCTCTTTAGTCTTTTTATGTTTCCCTTTTGCAAAAGAAAGTACATGTCAAATTTGTTTAAGATTCTATACTTGTTTGGGTCGTTTGCTCCAGTTCAAATCTTTTTCTCCTAAGAAATGTATTAACACCAGTATCGTGCCCCAATACAAGATACATGTGCAACAACTTACTTGAAACAAAGTAGGATTACCCAGGTCAACCAGTGATTTGACTCTTTGTTAAGAAAATGATACTTTACTGATTTGTTGAGAATGTAATATTTTGTTCCGGAACCATGTCAGACGTTTTATGTTTGAAATATGAACTATTTTCTGTGGTCCTGTCTTTCATACCATTCTCCCTCTGTGGCCCGCTGTCCTGCAGCGCTGAGCAGTAACCACAGAGAGGTGCTGCTCGACAAAGAGAGCGAGATGTCGTCCATGCTCGAGAAACTGCGGCTGAAAGAGGCGGAGATCCAGAGGATGAGGGAGGACGAAGCCCACAGAGCCAGCTACCTCCAGAGCGCCATCCTCGCCTACGTCCAGGGCTCACCTCTGGGACACTACAGCAGCCCCAAGAAATAACAGCTGGATCCTCCGAGCCCTCACTCCGGATAGTTCAGGACAGTCAGAAGAATACAAAAAAAAATCATGATTGTCTGGAGTGTGAGGGCAGATACCGAGCACAATGTGCAGTTCCAGTCAAGAAATGACGGGTTGAAAAGTCATTCATGGACCCCAGAGGACGGATATTACATGTGAGATACACTTTGATGCTTTCTTTAGATACATTTAGCACGTTAATGCTCTTGCAGGGACGGATGATCCCATGACATTTCATCTATTGCCATCCTCAGGGTAAAATGTACATTTGTACTCCCCCTACCAGTGGAGTAATGAACACTTCCGCCTCTAGGGGCTGCTACCAATCCAGTAGACTATTTTTTACCCTTTGTTAAAAGGGTGGTTTGTTTTTAACAAAACGTTTGTCTGGTTGGTGAGATTATTACCAGTTTCAAAACGCATGCTTTTTTTAATCTCTTCTATTGGTCACACATCAGTTTTTTTAGCTACACAGTAATAACGTGATGGTCCAAATTCTGTATTCTTTCGAGATCCTCTTCTCTTAAATGAGGGAGCAACGCAGGACTCTAACCAACAACAAGAAGAAAAGGAGTAAAAACACAATCAGGGAACTTAGCTCTACCATGCAGAAAATGTCTACAAGTGCAAGATATTTGATTTGAGACTAGACTGCTGTTGAAAGGACATTCCATTTAATACAACCTCAGCTCTGTCTAAACTCTCTACATCATCGTTGCCAGAGGATTCCCTCTCTCGTGTCTCTAGCTCTCATTAATTGAGATGTACTGTGCTTGAAAATGAACGATATCTGTTTTTGCTGTCCACCCCATCCTGTTGTTCTCCAGTCCAAATGAAAACTGGAGATTTGGTTCAAACATGCCTTTATATTGTTTATATTCTATTTGTCAAAGCTCAGACACAGAGAGCAAAAGGCTGATTCACAAAATGTTGTCTTCTGTTTTTATAAATCATTTAATGAAGAAAGTCCTACTTAAACTCTGGACGCAGTCTTTTATAATGCAAATTGCAGTTTTATATCTTGATATTGAATCAGATATGTGATGGATATTTGTGTTTTATATTTTCAGGTGTGTTTTTAACATTTTACTGATTTGTTCTTTGTGTTCTTTTATATCAGTTAAATGTGGTTATTTCTGAAATAAATATGATTTTTCTTGTGTGGATGATTTGGCAGTTGATCTGGATTCGTCTATTATTCTACTCAACAGATAACATGACAGTAGTCAGGGTGGGGATGTATGAGGTCACTGGGTCTTGAAATTACAGCCAAAGATCTTTAACTGTCAAGATGGTTCCTGTAAATTTGAAGCCTATGAAAGTCACTGTGGAGGAAACCTCATCATTCTAACAGACATGTTCCTCATGTCAGTGTTGATCAAATGAGACCATCGATAATCAGCCCCCATATTTACTTCCATTCGGTCATTAGGATGTTATTTGTAAGTGCAAGTTTCTAAATGCTGACCGCAAAGACCACACTTGTTCCAGATGTGAACAATTGCACTGGGAGGCTGCCTCACAGCAGCAGCAGCATTTAAATACAGAGACACAGAAACAATTTGTTATTTAATAATCATTCAAAACATTAAGAGGGAAATAATATTTATTAAAGTTGAATGAAAATAAACAAAAATAAATAGAGGAATGGCGTTTCAGTACAGTTAGTACATTGATACATGGCACTTCATTTAATAAGGACTAAAGTGCAGCAGTAAAAATAAATCAAAGGCACAGGAATGAAACTGACTTAAATTAGTGCACATTGAAGAAGATCTAAGGGACCTCATGAGTTTATACTTTTCAAGTATAGACCAATAAAAAATACTCACCGTAAGTCAAAGTTATCATCTAGGTTTAAGAAATATTATTTTCAAAATGGCATAAACATCTTGACTCATTGTCAGAGTTTTGTCTTCAAAAGTCATAATACCGATCTTCCATGCGGATTTGGCCACATTTTTTTTGATTGTTTAGGTACTGAATTTATGTATTTTGTATTATTATAATAATTATATATACTCATATGATATACCCATCAACCATTCCGTGCTAATAATTATTCATGTGGTGTTAGTAGTTGTAGTAGTAGTAGTGGTGGTGGTAGTAACGTCACGTTAGCTAGTAGTAGTAGTGTTGTAGGCTAGTAGTATTGTTGTAGGCTAGTAGTAGTAGTGTTGTAGGCTAGTAGTAGTAGTGTTGTAGACTACTAGTAGTATTGGTGTAGGCCAGTAGTAGTATTGTTGTAGGCTAGTAGTAGTAGTGTTGTAGACTAGTAGTAGTAGTGTTGTAGGCTAGTAGTGGTATTGTTGTAGGCTAGTAGTAGTATTGTTGTAGGCTAGTAGTAGTAGTATTGTAGACTAGTATTAGTAGTGTTGTAGGCTAGTAGTAGTAGTGTTGTAGACTACTAGTAGTATTGTTGTAGGCTAGTAGTAGTAGTGTTGTAGGCTAGTAGTAGTATTGTTGTAGGCTAGTAGTAGTAGTGTTGTAGGCTAGTAATAGTAGTATTGTAGGACAGTATTAGTATTGTTGTAGGCTAGTAGTAGTAGTGTTGTAGACTACTAATAGTATTGTTGTAGGCTAGTAGTAGTAGTATTGTAGGATAGTATTAGTAGTGTTGTAGGCTAGTAGTAGTGGTAGTAGTATAGGCTAGTAGTAGTAGTGTTGTAGGCTAGTAGTAGTAATAGTATTGTAGACTAGTAGTAGTAGTGTTGTAGGCTAGTAGTAGTAGTAGTGGTGTAGGCTAGTAGTAGTGTTGTAGGCTAGTAGTAGTAGTAGTGTTGTAGGCTAGTAGTAGTAATAGTATTGTAGACTAGTAGTAGTAGTAGTGTTGTAGGCTAGTAGTAGTAGTATTGTTGTAGGATAGTAGTAGTAGTATTGTAGGATAGTAGTAGTAGT